TATATATATAATACTAAAAGTGAATCCTTCAAAATACGGTACATCTATCTTTTGATCTAATACTACCCCGTCGTTAGGAAAAACTCTCAATTTTATCCTAACGGAGCTCCAATATTTAGTGTTAAATTTGAACATTTGCTCGAAAAATTTTGGACATGTAAAGTCCACCCAATATACGTTGGAGCTCCGCTAATGGTACATACAAATACGAGACGATTTGCCAACGACATAAGTATGAATGGATTAAAAGTATAACTAGAATAAAATTGAGCAATTCCTAATAGTATAACACGAAAATTAGACCATTTCCATTAAATAATCCTTGTGAAGATTGGTGGCAACTTACCGGTGCAAGTAAAGTGAGAGATTTAACTAAGCCAGGATGCTTTACAGCGAGTGCTAGCGCCAAAATGCAGCCCAAGGAATGTGCCACAATGTGGAAAGATTTCACCTTGTATGGCTCTAACACTGATTTTTCAATCATGTCAAGATGCTCTCTTAAGGTGTAAAGTGAATCATTTGGCTTTGGACTTCTTCCAAATCCCAGCAGATCCACCGCAAATAGGCGATATTTTGATTTTGCTGCCTTTGTAAAGTTAGGGAACAGAGTCTCTGTCCAAAATGCTGATGATGATATGAACCCATGAATGAAGATCACATTCTCTTGCACGTTCTCTGTGTTTATTATTCACACAGATAGAAGGCGTTAATCTAAGAAGAAACAAAAGAATATTCCAGTCTAGTCCAAAATAAATCTTTTGTCTCTGAACCGAGGGTCTCCCGAAAACAGTCTCTTTACCCATTCCGAGGTAGGGGTAAAATTTGCGTACACTCTACCCTTCCCAGATTTCACTTGTGGGATTCTACTAGATTGTTGTTGTTTGTCTAGTCCAAAATAAGTGCCGTTTAAGGTTTTAGCATACATAAGTACAAAACTTTGATCATAATTAAGGGTTATTTGACTAAATTACCCGTTATATCTCATCAAAATTTCCCTTTGATTTTAGTCATTTTCCAATGTGACACTTATTCTGAACCAAATTAATTTGGCTAAAACAACACTTATTTTGGATCAGAGAAGAAAGAGAGAAGAGAGTTTATTTGTCATACCTTTGACACCATCAACATGGACAAAAAGTGTATCTTTGCAAGAAGAGGACCAAGAATTACAAGTTTTACAATCACAATCCGACCATCTTGGAATGGGATGATATTGCTGGCCACCAATTTTGCCTTGGAGCATTTCCACAATGGTGGAATTAACAGTGAAAGTAGATCGCAGGGTTCCCTTTTTCACTGTGGCATTTTCCAATTTGAGCCGCTTGAGTTCATTCACTGTGGATTTTGACACTTCAGATACTAACGAAGACCGAGTGTAGAGTGTGTCTGATATTTCTTCTAGCTGCAATTTGTTGCGGCCAGAAGAAGTACTGAGACACACAATCTTGGATTCTCCTTGCTCGGAAACCAAGATTGTGCCACTGCTCTTCATAGCTTCTTTAGCTGACGAGCAGTAGCACGGTTTCCACTCTGCTTCAACGATGAAATCAATTACTTTGTAAGTGTAACAAAGCAGAAAATCAAGAATGTCAAGAAAAGAGAAGACAATGAAACTGATTGCTTCATTCATCATTCTGCCTGTCATTATGAATATCGATTTGGCCTTGTCCATTGTTGACATATTAGCAGTTTGTGTAAAGAGTGAATTGGGGTGTCAAGAATCACAAAAATTGTGTTTTTACTCTGCTTTGGTATGTCACAAAGATTATGTTAAGGCACCCGTTAGCTTTAGGAAAGCTCCGAGTGCCATTAGATGATGAAAAATAGCTAAGGGCACAATAATTTTTTTTGCCTAAGAATCTCACAAAACCATAAAAGAAAAGGTAAGGTGTTGAAAGATTATAAGCAAAAGGGGCATGGAAAATGGAACACATACACAAAATGACGACACAATGTTCTTGGATTAAATTGTTTGAGGAATGCGTGTGGGGTTGAGTTCTCTCTGTTCAAAATTTGGTGGGAGGAGAAAAGGGATAGATAAATATAGACACGTAACGGCTGGTAACAGATCAGTGAACTTTATTGATACATTAAAAACATTTGCTGGACTAAGAAAACAAGTTTGGTGGTGGTTGAACCTCTGAGTAAACAATACTTATAATGTTGCTCAACCTTTGTTTTACTCCATATATATAGTCACACACTCCTTATATACTTTAATAGTAATACTTCATTTTCGCTTGCAGCCCCTTAAGTTTTGGTTAAATAAATTTGCGATCCCTGTAGATATATATAAGAAATGCAACCACTAAGCCGGTATAACCACATCCTTAGATCAATTCATGCTTAGAAAGGTTAGAAATTACAAAGTGGAGCTTTGGAGCAACAATAAAGTTGTCTTTGTGTGACCTATAGGTCACGGTTCGAGCCGTGGAATCAACCGCTGATACTTGCATTATGATAGGTGACCATGCACAACTCTAGTCCTAAAAAGGATAAGTGGTCGCTGCAAATATAATCCGGTTTAAAAGTTCGGAGTCGAATCTCACAAAGAACTAAGGTTTAGCTACGAAGAAAAGTTTGAACAATTTCTAAGTTATAATATTAAGATTCTTATAACTAATTAACGAACAAATTAAAGTAGTAGATTAATAACTAAAGATACTAAGGGTTGGAGACAAGATTAAGGAGGTCTAGAGTTATGATTTCCCAAATTGTCGGAATCCTTCCTACTATGTCTTTTATAGTTTTGCCAAATTATTCTCTACGGATCGTTAGTATTTCGGGTGTCTCTTTCGAGCAACTATCATAATTTACTAGATATATTCTCTCGAACTACGCTAGCTGGCACTAATTCACCGCTCACTACGATTGCACCAAGATTTCTTTATTTCTAATCCTAACTTTAAACCCTCCGTATTGATTTCTCACATACGTTAGGAGTATTGTTGTTCAACAACTACCTAAATGTGTACCCGCTCTCAAGCAATACACATTAAATAGGCACAGCCAATTGATGGTCATTCAATCAACATCAATAAACACGTAATTGACCGAGTAGAGAAATCCAACGGATCAATTATATAAAAACATAACAAGAATTTATCCTACAAAAAAGTTCCATCAAAACTCTAGATAACAAATTAGCTATTCATAATAGTATGCAAAACTACAATACTAGAATTCATAACTAATAATGGAAATAAGGACAAGGAAGTGAAAAACTCATAGAAGAATTCTCTGCCTCGCTCCTAGCGTGTTCTTGCCTTCTTAGGTCGAATCTCCCTCCAAATTAGTGTCTCCCCCTCAAAAGCACGTTTTAGGATGTATTTATAGCGACTAGGGTTTGTATGAGGCGAATTTTCCTACTTCTATTTCAGATTGGAAAAGTTGGTTTCTTTTGCTCCGTTCCTGATCTGGCGAAGTGAACCTCGCTTTGCTGTCTGTGAGTTTTTTCTTCAGCTCTATTTTCACCAATTTTTCTTCTATTTGGTCCTTTTCCGCATACGTTTGTTCCTACACATAAGAAATACGTAATGAGAATATTTTTATTTCAAAAGCGATGTGAACGAGCACAACTCACACAATAATTAATACAGAAACACACTCAAAACATGCACTTTTCACCCTTTATCACCACCCCACATTTAAATTCTTTCTCGTCCTCGAGCAACTTAAAATTAAGCGCATAGGTAAGAAATATCTTTCATAACATACTCAAGCATCACACCAATGATAATGGTTTATATCAACGCTTAAAACACAACATATGCACTCTTCATATATTTTCTCAAGTTTTAAACTCACGCCAAGATTATTTAAAAAAATCATGTGGCTCTTTCTAACATCCTCGCCTCAAAACTTGACTCTAATGCATTCCACTCTATGATTCACTCTTTGTGCCAGCTCAAAAATCAAGGTCTCTACCAATCCTTTGCAAATCATATGCCCTCACCAACAAACGAGATAGAAAATAGTCCACCCACTCAAATATAAGTTCAAGTATAGTCTAAGGACTCAAATATAGAAAGAATTCGCTCACTCTCTCAAAGAAACTCTTATGCCACCCAAGCTCATACCATAGGCTTGGTCGTAGTGTAAGTCTCTTCTAATTTAAGCTCGTAAAGTCTGGGATCAAGTAAGACTTTATAGGTTATAATATAGGCTAAGGGACGGGTAGAATATATTTGAGAAAATAATGACTAACCCTCCTAAGCACTTTAATACACTACACTTCACTTCTAAGCACCTTTTTCATGACCACTTCAATGTCTTGCCATGAAACCATACATATTTAAGCCCTTCTTCGTTAAATATATCAACATATAGATACTTATTAGCCCAGACAAAGATATGTGAGGTGTTATTCATTTTTTTCTCTCTCTCCTTAATTTGGTATTTTTGGCTAAAATGTTTTTTGGTTTAAACACAACTGCACCTTGTCCAATCTCTTTCTTTACTCTTCTATCTACTTAAGTACTTTCGGAGGTAGAGGTTCAACAAAATTTGATTTAGAACAAAGGAGATTCGGCTTATAATGTAGTTTCCAAAAAAAAAAGGTCTACATGCTCAAAAGAAGTGACTACAGATAATATTAGCACTGATAGACAAATAGGCTAAATGGTCAATCAAAGAAAGCCTATATCACTTCCCAAACTTACAAGATTTAATCATTTCGCTTTGACTCACACACGGGGCAAGTTCTAGACAAACAACGGATGGCACAGAGTACAACACAAATTTCACCTTACACAATGCATATGACTCACTTAGAACAGTTCAGACCCGACTCTAAAGTTAAAGCAACTAGCACAGTCATCATAAAATTTAAGCACACGAAAATTAGTCATAAGAGTCGAAAGATGAGCCCCGGTGTCAAAATAAATTCACATACATTCTCAAAGCATATAATTACAATGACCATAAAGAAAGAACTTAGTGCGAATACTCCATCTATAAGCCCCAATATAAAATATGTCAAAAAGCATAGATACTCAAGTTCTCCCCATTCCATTATCAGTTCAAAAAGAAAAAAATGAAATTTTTTTTGTATTTTTCTTTGGACTTTAAACCCTCAAGAAAACTGTCTAAGAAATCCATCGTTGGAAAAAGTCCAAACCTTTTTGAAAATTTTGCCTACAAAAAAGATTAATAACCGGTTCAAAGAGTCATCACTTGAAAAAGAACTGTGGCCCTAAGAAAAACCAAGGGGGGGTTATTTCTTCCTAATTAAATTTTTTTTTCAACACACAAAAAATAACACAACTAAAATAGGATAGAAATTCGTCCAAACAGTCTCTTCACCCCACACTTAGAATCGTGCATTGTTTCGAATACAGACCCATAAATATAAGAGGGTAAAAGAAACTCTCTGGTAGGCCAAAGCCTGAAGCATTAGCAGCCCGTGGGGTACTCAGACTTCTCCCAGACATGATTTTTTGTGCGGACACCCCGCACTTAGTTCTAACCATCTCACTTGATTTTGCTTTTTTTTTTCCAGTGTCCTTGCTTCCCATGCTCCTAGAGAAATAAAAAATAATACTACAAGAATAATACAATAATAAAAAATAAAAATATAAAAAAGCAGTAAAGCTGGGTTGCCTCCCAACAAGCGCTTAATTTAACATCGCGGCACGACGCGAATCACTTTTTGCCTCCACCTTGAGCTTATGAATTGAACCTCAAGTTTTACTTCAAATTTTCTACTATACTCCAAAGGTGGTGGAACAAATCTAACTGCCCCAAGAAAATAATGTAGTATTCTACACTTCTTAGCCTTTGCATGAGGTATGTAATCCTGACTTTCTGGCAAGAAGAATTCCAAAATATAGGCACCTTATTCCTCATTCCTTGACTCCTCAATTGGCTCAGATGACTCTATTTTCATATCATCATCTAAACTCAATGTGGAAAAATGCTTGGAGTGTGGACCAATGCGCTCAACTACATGAACATTGGGATTGTCAACATCCTCAATACCAATGACACTAGAGTCAACTAATATGTATCCTCAATGTCCTTAGTTGACTCTAATATCTCTTCTACAACACGGGCATCCTCAAATTTTAATTGGATAGATTGTTGGTGTTCTACTTTGACCTCCTCCATTAACACCTCCATCTCTGCATCTAATGCATGCTCGTTTTGGTTACTATCCATAATATTAGCTTGTTGAGCATTAAATGCTTCAATCAATTGACTCACTTGTGCCTCCAGGTTAAGAATAGTTGCCTCTTGCCTTTGGATAGTCTCTCATTGCCTTTGTATTTGCAGTTGTTTCTCATTACTTTGTTCCATGAGGTACTTTAACATATCTGTGATCTCCTTCAGGTCAGCTTTTCCGAGTTCTTTATTACTGTTAACCTCATAAAAGAAAGTAGAACAATCATAATAAGTGGTTGGAGGAGGATAAGAAATACAAGCATAACCATAAAAGTGACCATCTTGACCACTACAAATATCACATACGTTCCACACATAAGATTGAGTTGGTACACATAACTTGCTCTCGAAAATATTTTGACCATTTTTGTCACAGGTGATTTCCTCCGCAATATGCATAAGGAAGATCAACAGTAGAATTAATAATAAAACTCTCATAATTCCACGATGCCATATTTCTCAAATTAACAAGTAAAACTAAAATAAAAAAAATAAATAATAGAAAATAAAATAAAAGTTCAAACTTGAAAACTAATAATATGTACACGTACAGCTACACCGTTAGTTCCTCGGCAACAACGAAAAAATTTGATCATGCCCAACTCTTATCCTAAAAAGGATAAGCGGTCGCTGCAGGTCTAAAAGTCCAGAGTCGAATCCCACAGAGAACTAAGGTTTAGCTACAATTGTTTACTATCACTAAGAAGACAAGTTCTAATAATTTCTAAGTTATAAATATTAAGCTTCTTATATTTAATTAACTAATAGATTAAAGTAGTAGATTAACAACTAAAGATACTAATGGTTGGAGACAAGATTAAGGAGGTCTAGAGTTATGATTTCTCTAATTGTCGGAATCCTTCACACTACGTATTTTATAATTTTGCCTAATCATTCTCTACGGATCGTGAGTACTTCGGGTGTCGTAATTCTCTTTCAAGCAACTACCACAATTTACTAAATATATTTTCTCGAACTACACTAGCTGGCACTAATTCACC